CTTCTCAGTCTGACATCCTGCCCTCCACGGATACCAGCCACCCTGCGAGATCCTGTCCTTTAGAGGGACCGAACACTTACTGTGTGAAACACTAGATATTTTTGTAAAATTTTTGTTTTAATAACAGTTATAAATCATTGTCTCTCAAAACGCTAGTTTCTTTGCACTTTCAAGCTGTTTTTTGCTACAAAAATTGTCCCCAGGCAGTACTCGATTCACAACGGTCATTCTCAGCATCTCCACGCACACGGGATGGACCTTCTCTAACGACAACCCCTGGCAGCAGGGTATTGCCCCAAGATGCCCAAATCAAACCGCACACACCAACGCACCATGGCGCAGAAGTATTTTACGGTTAAACTGGCAGCAGGTCCCTTAGGAGGGACCCGATGGGGTAATGGCAAGAAGGGGGGTGAAAAACACCCAACATCCACACCGAGGGTTTTGACAGACAAAAAGCCGCTCAGCTGTTCCAAACTGCTGGATGCCACCACATCAGGTTATCCTCTGTGCCGTGTTTCCTGCACACATTTCACACCATCCCGGACCGGCGCCGGAGCAGCCCACGGGGGTACTCCCCTGGGTGTCTGTGACCCCAGGAGGACGGGGAGAACGTCGCAGAGGGGGGAGCTGCTCACCAGAGGTTCACCAGGAACACGTGCTCGATCTCCTGCAGGATCTCCAGCTCTCGGAACACGTTGCGAACCTCGTCTCTCTCGATGCACTGCTGCTTGTTCATGTACATCTTCTCCGTGTCTCTCTTCTGCACAATGCACACCTAGAGCACGGCAGACGGGGAAGGAAAAAAGAGTCAGTAAAACACTCTGTATCCTCATTTGCTGCTTTGTTTTATATAAAAATGTAAAAAAAAAAAAATTTTAAAAAGTGCTGTGACCTGGGACATGGGCACACAACCATCCCTGTCCCAAGCACCGTGCCTGCGTGCTCCCCTTTTGGGTGCTGAGCATCCCACCTGGGCTGGCTTTAACTGTGCCACTGCATTTAAAAACAATTTAAAACAATTTTTTTAAAATTTTAAACAATTAAAATGTAAATTTGTTATCAACAGCAGCAAGCAGTGTGTCCCTTGGAAGGCAGCTGTCCCTGTCCTTGCAGACACAGCCCCTCCCTGCTCAGGGTATCACATCCCCAGTGCCCTGGACCCATCCCCAGCTCCCAGCATCAAGGCAACAATTTTAAAATGAACTAAAAATTTCTACCTCTGGTATAACTACATCTGTCCTCTTTTAACGATCAGACATGCCCATGATCACAATGTGCTAGGTTTCCTTTGCAAAAGCACCAATGTGACATTTTGGTGGCGCAGCCCCCGTGGGGACACTGACCCGGGCTGGCGCCGGCAGCTGCAAAGAGCGGGTCCCAGGGCACAGCGCGGGAGGAGCGAAAGGGGCTTCTGAGGACGGCAGAAAACATCGCAGACAGACGGGAGCCACCAAACTCTCCCGCACCTCTAGACTACTGCCATTAATAACCATTTGCAAGTGCTAACGGCGCACAGTGTAGTATCATCGAGGACACGTTACAGCGCGAAGGTGACACAGTAATAGGCGGTTATCGTTAGCCTGATGAAAACATCCCAATTAGCCGTGCACGCTGAAATTACCAGGATTATTTTGCAGTCGTCCTTACAATGATGGTAAGAATGGAAAATTATCTCTTGAAGTAACTCCAGGTGCACCTCAGACCCCACGTTAATGGCTCCATGCTTGGGCAGCCTGAACTGAGCCATTGCCTCTGGGACGAACTCACGCTTTGCCCCCCGAGAGCCGTGCCCGGCGCTGGCAGCAACACCGGGGCAGGGCAGCCTGTGCCCCCTCTGGGTGACCGGGTGGTAACGGGTGTCCCCAGCCCTGTCCCCGCCGGTGCCCGTGGGCACGCAAAGCTCACCGGGTACAGCTCCGAAACACAAACACACCAGGGGAAACCCGGCTTCGTGCAAACTTCGTTACCCACTGCTGTGCAAAGCGCCAGCAGGATCCAGCCCCTGCCTCACGCAGACTAAACTGGCTGCACATCTCATAAAACAGGCAAAAATAACTTCACATTTTACAAAATCTTCAATCAGAAAAGACTTAACAATATCCCTTTAAAACACGGTCATTGCTATAGAACTTCTCTGAAAACAAGCCTTTGAATAACAGCCCTCCAGGCACGAGCAACATTCTTTCCCCATGTCAGTTTATTTCACATTATGGCCAGAAGCTCATTAATTTCTAAATTTCTTTTTAGACTGTGACTTGCAGTATCTTACCAGGCATTGCATTTTATATTTATGTCGTTTGCTTCTTGTTTCTCTGCAGGGAAAATGGAAACCTAGTATAATAAATGAGAAAATGATGAAAACTTCTTGTACCCTGTAATCATAATAAATGGTTTTCTGAAATGGAACAGCATCACCTACATACAAAACAACGCCAGTTTCAGGCACTCTGGAAATCTTTGTTCTCTGTTTTCTGGAATAAAACACCAACGTAGGCGTTGATGGAAATGTCCTTCTTCCAGCCCAGCCTCCCAAACGCTGGGGTGGCAGAGCGGGGAGGTGGCCGACCCGCGCCCGTGGGTCCCGCTGCGGGAAGCCTTCGTAAGATGCCCTGGTTACAGAAAAGCCCCCCTCAGCCCCCCAACATCAGTGCCCCAACACGTATCATATCTTTTTTTTTTTGTTTCCCCATTCATGCATCTGTTCCTGGGGAAGGAATAAACATCAACTTGGTTACAAGTCCGAGTGGGTTTTTAAATTAATCTCAATCCATTTTCAGGCAGATCTACAATGCGAAGCGACGCAAGAAAGCTGAAAGAAGAGACTACTTTGTCCTCGTTCTGCATAATGCGGCCCCGCGCCACACAAAGGAAATGTTCAGTGGTTAAATACAGGCATTAGGAAAAATGGCATGTAAGGCTGCCAGCTCTGCGAGGCAGAAGGCGGGCATCAGCTGGCAGGATATTGCTCAAGACACGGCACATAAAAGATTTAACAGAGCCCCAGATACCCTGAGCATTCAGCTGCTGCCAAACGGTTTGTGTACAGCTGCCTTTGCTTTCATCGCATTAACGGCACAAAGGGGCTGGAGCGCGCATCTGCCAGCCGGGACACGAGATGTGCATCTAACACCTCCCGGTTCCCGCTCACCCGAGGGGCCCCGGACAGCGACAATGCCGGTACTGTCACCACGGCTGGTGGCTTCTTCCCATCCGAATGTGGGACAGCCCTGGCCTTCACTCAACCGCCCCGGCCATCTCACTCATTTAGAGGGGACTAACGAGGACCACGGAGCCGGGTGGTATTAAAAGAAGTGATGGGCAGGGAAAACGGACTCTTGGCTTTGAAACACTCACCTTTCTGTAAAGAGTCATCATTAAAAAACGCAGAACACGAACAGACGTGTTCAGAGCTGCCTCTCTGCTTCATGCACAAAGTTTGTTTCCATCAGCAAAAGCAGCGAAGGAGTTAGCTTGACGTTGCTTGACTGTCCTGAGCAGCCCGACGATGTTCCAGGAGATTCTCCGAGCACCACCTGGAGAACGTCCCCAATGGCATCCCCTGAAAAGCCATCCCTGCGACATCCCCGTGCTCAAACACCTCACCCTCTGCGGAACTGACAGTAAACCCATCTGTTCAGACTGTCCTGATCATCGACGAGAGAGAGGCATGAGAACAGCCGAAAAGACAGGGGATGGGAAGCCCAGAGGGGCCCCTATGGCAGGAGCTGGGCATACTGCAGGGCGGGGGACATGGGGCAGCGGGGCTGCACCCCTTCATCGCAGCAGCCCCCAAGGACTCCTCTGTGCCACGGCAAGCTCCGGCAGCGCTCCCACAGGGCAAATGGACATCACATGGAACCGCGGCACAGCACCCAAAGCTCACCTGATTTTCCTGCAGCATCTGAAAATCAAAGGCGGGGACAAAGAGCTTTAACCGGAGCAGAAGGAGCGAGCAGCATCCTCTGCATGGGAGCAGCCGGCACGGCTCCAGCCCCTGCCCTGGTCAGCTTGGGGGGCTTTTCACCAGGTTCCAGAAAAAAAAAATACTGGAACTAAAGAAGTGGAACATAACTGAGGTACTCACACGTCTGCCCGGTTCATCTTCCACCACCACCCCCACCCCGACTGTGATGTGCAGGGATGAGCCCTGCTCTTTAGTGGGAAGCACATGCACCATTTACACTCTCACACAGCCCTGACTCGGGATAAACTTCATTCTGCAGGATCAGCGCACTCTCCATCACGCGGCGGCTTCAGCACCAAAGGCAGAAACAAAGTCCATGACCTGCCGGGAATGATTTGGCTCCATATTCCCCTGCATCACCCGGGGAGCTGCTGCTCACAAGAGCTATCTCTGGTTTCCACCCAGCCGTGGTATCAGTTGGCATGGAAACAGAGAGCTGGGACTGGGTATTTCTGGTGTCCAGGGGACTCAGACATCATGTCCTTTCTGGAAGTTTTTTTTGTTCCTGTTAATTTAGGATACTTTCCCCAGTCGCCTAAGTTTTTGCTGCTCTGTACATTTTTCAGTCCAACTTGCTCTCCTTTGCCTTTTCTCCTTCAGAATTCCGGTAACTTTTTAAAATTCTGAAGGAATCCAAGGGGCTGAAATCCCCACTTGGATGAAAGGTCATCTAATCATTTAATAACATGTCCTGACTTATCTCAAACTAATTATAAAGAGGCAGCGCAATTTGTCTGGGCTCAAACAAAAGCAAGTCGTTTGCATTCTGGGCAGGATCTGCGGAGCTGATAAGTCCTTGAGATTGCTTGATCTCAGCAGTGCAAAGATTATTTTTTCCTTCCGCAAATGCAAACGTCATCTTAAATCAAGGCACCCGTGATCCTGTCCTCTGCAGCGTGTTACCATCCCGTCGATGCAAATATCCACCGCTGGGTTCAAGAGATCTTCCTCTTGCTTCCGAACTGGGAGCACTGGGTTTTCTTCTTGAATCTCCCAGTGGCTTCTGCCTTTGGAGGATGAGACAAATGTGCTGGAATCCTTACACACACAGACACCTGACTGCAGCCGAGAGCCCCTGGGCAGTTCCAGCGTACAAAGCTGGATTTCACTCGTTTTGTTTTTAGAGTCAGGGCTTGGCATTAGCAAGCACCATGCTCCAACATCAAACACCGTAATCCTACGCGATAGCAACCCACAGCCAGACACCGCTCTAGCTTATAAAAATGCTTATTTGGAGTGGCTGCACCTTGCCCACATCTACTGATTTCTCCTCCAGCTTCTGGACACTGAAACGGTTAAAAAACTCTCCACGTTTCCCATTCTCCAGCGATGAGAGGCACTGCAGTTGGAAGTGGTCGTTCGGGAAACGGCTGCGACTGGGATGATGCATCGATCCCCCCGGCAGCGCGTGTTTGATCCCAGCAGCCCTCTCCCGCCATCCATCACCCAGAGCAGCCGTCTCTAGCTCTCAGAAACAAGCCAACCCCCGTGAATCCATGAGGATCCATCACAAGCAGAAGCACGACCAGAACCTGGCCCTAAGGTCTCACCCAGCAAAGGAAATGTCAGTCACCAGGTCTGCTGGGGCCGCCAGCACCATGTCCCAGCGCCAGGTCCCACCCAGACCCAGGCTGGGGCAGGGCAGGACCCTGGTGGGACCCCCAGTGGGGCTCGCTCTCCCCTCTTGGGCTGCCGGGGCCAAATTCCTCCCTGTTTTCCCCAATACCTATCTAGCTGCCATTGTACTTTCAAGGTTGAAACCTGAAGTGTGAGGCATAAACATAAAACAGCCCGTGGCACCCAAAGCACCC